ACAAGGCCTCATGTGCTTGCAACGCTGCACATCTAATAAAAACATCATCACCTACACTTACTTACAAGAGCTTCATAATCTGCTCCAAATGCAGGAAAAAGCGTCTACAAAAGTCAATGGGTTTTTTTGCGACTGCACTACGTAGCTGGGAACATATGAATAGCAACTCATCATTCAATGGCACATATACCATAGATACAACCTCATCTCTTGGGGTGCTTCACTTGCATCGTAGACGGTTGGGATTGCTACTGCACTGCTAATCCAGTAAAACGTGAAGCCCATACAAGAATCGAATGCCCCACCCACGCAAATAGCACGCTGTACTCAAGCAGCTACATGGTACCTCCAAATCTCACGTTGACACTCCGCAGTTTTTTTCGCAGAATAGTACGAAGCCTTGAATGTCATCTTCTGAACCACTATGAATCGATTTCTCAATTCGCTAAATTCCTCCCATAAGATCCGTACTGAAGCGTAGTCACAGCTCAGTTTTGAATGTCCTAGTTTGTCTTTCCTTCGCAACATGAGATTTGTTGTCTGTGTATAAGTACTCTGTATCATAGAATTCGTGTGTCCTACCCTGTGCAGCCCGAACGAATAAATCTTTATCGAAGATCCTATTCCGGTCAAAAAGAAGAAAAACCATCCTGAACTCTACCAATGTCGCTACTTACAAGCTTATTACCCCACTTCCCGACACCAAACCATGGTTTTATTGGAATTTTCTGCAGCAAGTAGAGCTGTAGAGCCGGCTAGAATTAGCGAATGTCCCGTGTTGTTTTCTGCTGTGAATACGCCTACTGGATCGGTGGATGGTGGTCATTGTTGTACATTATATGGAGACAGCTATCCAGTCGTGCCTGGGTTGCGAGTGATCTGGTTTTTGCGCTCAAATAATGATATTTTGGGGTATAAAGCCTCACTATTTTTGCTGTTGTTTGTTGTAGTTCGACTAGTGAATAATCTTCTACTGCTGATTTCTGCCAACTGCTTCCGGAATCCAACAAGCACGAATGGTCTTTTGGCCAGAGACTCCTTTAGGAAGAAGAAGCTGGCTCTTCCGTCTCGAGCATAAGTGTCATAAACAGCTTCGATTGAATAAACGGAAACTGTGAACGCGACGAGTGTCTCCGGAATGTCGTAACGCTGTGGTAACGCTTCATTCACCCCCTTCACCATGACAGCCAGGTAAGTTGGAAAGTCTACCATACTCAACAGTGTTGGTGGGCTACTTAGTTTTCTCTCGGTTAGAACAGGGTCTACCGTTCCCGCAGTCTGCTTTCTGCCAGTGTTGCCTTGTTCAAAGTCATTTCACAGACTCCTGGCGTTCATCTCGTCGAAACCAATGAACATTCACTCTTCTTGCTGATCCGCTGGTGTTGTCTTCGCGATCTAGCTAATAGTGTAGTTGTGGGTGTCTCTCACGTCTTTTTTCCATACCAGCAACATTGAAAGTTCAGCCCTTACGAGGTTGCTTGAGTGATTATTTCTTTGCTATGCCATTGAATTCTCGAGTAAAAAAGTTTAGTGCCATCTGTTTCGCCAATGTGTAGGTGAATTCCCTGGAAGGAAATACCTCAGTAGCCTCCAACTAATGATCAGAGCACAAGGTGATTGCTGCTGTCTTAACGGAGGCGAGAGCTTCCTCAACTCGTCGAACGAGGGAGAGAGCTCAGTCACTCATAGCGCAGTCACTTCGTTGAGTCTCGCAACTGAATCCCTTCAGAACTCTTCTTTCCATCGTTTCATCTTCCTTTCCTCATACAATAACGATCAGAGTTATGTCGAATTATCGGACACATTGGTACTAGAAAAGTCTTGTGCACTAACTTATTACAAGAAAACATTTGCTATAGGCGTATCTTGCTGAAACTATCTTACCTACTACCGGCGTCGATTTTATGATTTGCCTGAGCATTTACAATGATTCGGAAGGA